GCATAGAAAATTCCATAATCATACCTCAACCCGATTCCAACATCCACCTTCGGGTCATCCGGGATCCATGAAACCGCTGTGTCATCGTAAGTCCCAAGTGCATAATAATCATTCCTATCATCATCAAGACTAGCTTTGACCACATGCTTCACTCCTGCACCATTGTCTGATGTGTCCAACCCATTTGCCTCAATTTTAGAAACAGGGTAAAAGTCCACACACTCCCACATACCCGTACCCGGGACACCATGGAGCACCCCATCCAGGAGCTCATATGTTTTGAAGTCCTTGGTCTCATATACTAGCGAAATGCCAGTTTTGTTAACCTTGGATCCAATGGTGAGTCGCCACGTGCCATCGGACCTGTACCATGCAGTTGTCGGGTCACGGAAGTCCTTGATTTTGATACCGGGCGGTGGGACAAGAACCGGGTTTCCGGAGTACTTGACCCAATCAATGAGGAAAGGATCAGATAAGTTGGCAGGGTATGCTAGATTTTGCACCTGCACAGACTCGTTGGTTGATCCAGTGTAGAGCATGACCACTTGGCCATCAGGGAGTATGGTGGCGGACCCGGTCCATACACCATTGATGTCGTACCAGTGATCGCAAACCATTGCGATTGGAAGGTGGCGCCAGTGAATTAGGTCCCTTGAAACTGCATGGCCCCACACAATGTCACCCCACACTGCTCCTTTTGGGTTGTACTGGTAGAAAAAGTGATACCATCCTTTGTAGAACAATGGACCTGTCATATTTTAAAAGGAATTATCAATGCAGGTAAAATATGACAATTAGTAACAAATTTTTTCCTACATTATTAATTGAGTAATTTTATTTATATCTAAAAATTTGATCTGACCTGATTTATTATAATTTTTGAATTAACTATAAGTATTATCAAATATTGGAACTTGTTTTTCATCTAATGGTTCCAATGAAATCACATCATCAAGTCAACGAGTAAGATCAATTTTTTATGTTTGAATAACATTACTCTTATTAATTAGTCACAAACTTTGAAATTCTTGAATCCTCATAAATTTTTCTCCTGGCCAAATTTGAGGATTTGAGTGCCGTAATGACAAAACAGTTCGGTACCATATTTTTAAAATTTACTACTTTAATGAGTGTTTTTATAATTAAAAAAATTATCATTCTTATGGGTGATTTATCATATTTATAGATACTTTTATCATTGTTGTGAGTGTTTTACTACTATTGTGATAACTATTTTTACCACTTTTCTTTTGTATAAAAAATTTACCACTTCTATGAGTGATTTACTATGTCGTGGGTGTTTTTATCACTGTTATAGTAACTATTTTTATCATTTTTTTTTTGGTATCACAATATTAAATAAAACCACCCACAAATACAATAAAAATTACTACAATTTTGAAATTTAGTTTTTAGGTAACACAGACAACTCCTTCAAATTTGAATACCAAGTACAGTGATTTAGGAGAACTATTGAATAGTATGTGGCCAAATGTACCTGTCATGTTTTTGTCCAAGTCAAGAATAAGTCCTAACATCATCAAGCTGAGTGTCATTGAGGACGTTCCTCCCGGAAAATTAATACATCAAATGTTTAACTACATTACACAATATTAGTTTCTTACACAAGTTTAGAACCAATATAAAGGATGCTTATTCGGTGACAGTCGCTGCTGTGCACAACTCGTTTCTGTTAGGATGGGATGAATCTCTACATCTACAGTTTAAAACTTTAATCTTGACTGATTGTAATTTAAATTTCTTTAATTAATGAAATGTTATCCGTTCCTTGTTTGGATAAAAATGAAAAAAAAAAAAAAAAAGAATAAGTCCACATCCAAAGTGGTCAATGACATTTAATTTTAACAAGGGAAATTTGTACACCCATTGTCAAGACCGAGAGAGAGGAACATACCATTAGGATCTGGCGCAGGGTGAAGCAGAATCCCCCACAAGAATAATAGGAGTCAAAAACAGGCCACAGAAAGAGGCCACAAGAGAGAAGATCAGAATTTGTAAAAATATCATCCTACTTAAAATCATAACATAAATATTAAAATAGCATCACATTTAGATTGCATGAAATATGAAGCACATACCATTCATCCAGTTTTTTTTTGGTTGAAAATGAAAAGCAGTTCTTTGCCAAGCCAACATTTCTCTGGTCCATGGAAATTGAGGCACGCCCAACAATGGAACAAAAGACTTCGCGGAGACACCTTCCTTTATCCCCCGAGCTACCGGCTTTATCCTCCCCGGCGACGTCGACGTATTTGTCGTTGAAACTGACGCCGAAACCATCTCACTTCCACCATTTGAAGCCAATCCATCTCCACTCATTAAGGCCACCAACAAACCAACCGCCAGCAACCCAGTCAATAACAGGACTATTATCCTGATGGGTCGCCGGCCTTTGGCAGGAGCGACGGTGGGTCCGGTTTCATCCGACAGGGGTCTGTAAGAATATGGAAGGGCGGTGTTTGTGTCGTCAGATTCGGAGTCGGAACGAAATGGGTTTGAGAACAACATCGTACACGACTCGCTGACGGAGAAATGACGAGAGAATCAATTTTATATGGGAGAAACTAGGAGGAGAGAGAGAAAGAGAAGCTGTGATTGGATGAAAATGGTCAAATGACAGGTAGACTGTGTCGTGTTCCCATTTGCCATATATGGGTCTTAACTGCTGTGAATAATGCACGAATTTAAAATATTAACTTAAAAATTAGATTTAATAATCTCAATTATTGAATATATAGTGGGTCTCAATAAATATTAGGATCCATAGTGAAATCAATAATTCTAATTATCAAGTCTAATTTTTAAGTTCACGTAATATTGTTCAAATTAAAATAAAAACCGTATCTTGGATTTGAGGGAGAGAGAGAGCTTTGCATGTGATTCCCGAGCATAACGGAGAGACAAATTTAGAAAGAGAGGGAGAGATCTTTGCATGTGATTCCCAAGCTTAACGGAGAGACAAATTTAGCACCCACCGTTAAGTTTGCCAGTCCTATTTTGATACCCATAAAACCATCAATATGGTGTAATAAATTTAATGGTGAATTTTTCAGTAAATTGCGGTGGATACCTCGTGCACAGAAACGAGAATCTCATATCTAATTATGTCAAATTTCTTCGGCCCCAAAAAACAAAAGCTTAAAAGCTATATCGAAGAATTCCGTACATTTGATAGGATTAGGAATGACATTGGACCAAATGAAAATAGATATTCGTTCAAACTCAATATTGTTTGGACCGGAGATAGATCATATGTATTGGATGGTAAACGTATATAAAAATATCCGTATAATGCGTACCAAAATGAAGACGGAGATGAACTGACACTTACCTCCGTCCCACCACCGCCCTGCCCTTCCTCTTCTCGCTTTACTCATTATTATTATTATTACTACATGTTGCTATAAATACAAATTTACATATTATTGTATGATTTTTTTTTTTGTAAATTGTTTTATTTTTTAATTTTTTTTTCATGATTTTAACTTGTAAAAGTGTAAATTTTTGAGTTTTTTATTTTTTCATGATGGATTATGTTATGCTACATTATGTTGTGTTGCATAATATTGTGTTGAATTTACGAGGGTGACAAACTTTTAATTATATTATGTTGGATTATGTTGTAGTCAAAGTTTTAATTATATTATGTTATAAATGATAAACTTTAATTATGTTATGATATTCTAAAATTATGTTGCATTATTTAGAATATTAGATTTATTTAAAATTTTGAATTATGTTGGTTTGTACTTGGGTGGGTAAGGTGGATGGGGGGTGGGGACGGAGGTGAAGACGGGGGACGGGGCAGGAGTAGGAATTACAATTTTACCTGCAAATGGAGATGAAGATGAAAATTATACTCGTTAACGAAGGTGAACCAAAGATAGACAAAAAATCTTTAAGTGGGTACGGAAATGGAGACTACACCCCTACCCCGTTTCGGTTCATTGCCATCCCCCTATATTAGATATCAAAAACAGAATTTTTTAAATCACAAATCTATGGACCTAAACAATATTACTGCAATAGACTTGTTCCGAATACAAAGCGTTACTACTCGAAGAATTACTAATTCAAAATTTAGATGTCAAAATTGTGTTAATTGGAAAACATAGAGTAGTGTTACATTAACTAAAAAAAATATATAAAAAAATATAGATCAAATGACGTGACCCTACTAAAATAGGAAAATTTTAAATTTTAAATGTATATAAATAAAATTAACAACACTATTATGATAAAATAAAAAATTGGTTCAACAGTCAAAGATGTCCGAGTCAGTTTACTCACGCTTGTCCGATTAAAGACATGTCATTTACGCCAGAACTAAAATATTTATGAGGGATAAATTCTTTATAACCTGACCTCAAGAAATTAACATTATTATGATAATGTCACATCATTTATTTCCTGTTTTTGGTCTAGAGATTTAACCACTTTCACCAACAGAGTAGAGGAAGAAAATTAGTCCTAGTGATTATGAGCTCTTCATCGGAGATGGGCACATGAACATCCATCCTGGAATGTCAGGACGTGGATGCAATAAATGGATCAGAATATTTTCCACCCTTTTAAGTGCCTAAGTTCAGAAGTATTTTGTTTCCTACTCCTATCTTTAATCTTAAAACGAAATACAACGTTGAAGAAGCAACAGAAGCTGAACAAAATTCCATATATTTTTCTATTCCTATAGGTTATGTATCATTCATCAATATGATTACTCTCCAGCTTCCACATGCAAAACCATGTTCCTCACAAGCTTCTACATGCATTTACTCCCCAAAACAGAGTGCTGCAATAAACTGGATCACCGATCTCTCTTTTACGAGTAAATATTCCATGTAATGTTGACACCACATCATCAATGCAAGTAATGTTATCATCAAATAGAAAACACAACTAAAGTATGTAAGATTTCATAAAGATAATTATGGAAATTTTGGTATTCAATACCAAAACAGTATACCATTCACTGTTTATATAGATACATCAGAAGATTACAAAAGATTTGAGTACAAATAAGTAGAATCAAAACAAAGTTAACCCTAAGCAAAACTAAAATATCATAAGCATTCTTATCCTAATCATCGGTGGATATATCAAGTCCTAAGCATCCTTATCATGAGTAGATGTATCAGGATCACCCTTATCATGTAGAGAAAAGTCTGTAATTTGAATAGAACTAAGATCACATTGAAGAACCGAAACAGTAGGTTTGTTAACAAAGTAGACTTATTTTTACAAGTGATTACCAAATGACGTAGAGGGGAGTTACTAAAATTTGTGAGATCTACATATTCACTTGTTATATTTTTATTAGATGATAACATCACTTGATATTAATGACATAGTGTCATTGTTACATTAAATATTTTCTTCTGGACCTGGTTCCTATCAATGATGAACCTTTTTCCATTTATGTACACAAAAAATTACACCTTTTTTGTCATCAAAATTGAAATGTTCTTGACCATGGACATTGCGTCGCATTTTTCGTTTGTAATTTATTTTTTTTTCCCTTGACCATTAAGCTTCATAAAATCCTTAGATCAGCAAAACTTAAAAAACAAAAAAAAAAATTTCACACAATCTGGCAGATGAAAGATGCCTTAATCATACTAATTCCGTACCACCTTACTAAAAGGCATGCGCTCCGGGCACCTAAACAATCTTTCTACTCAATAACGCCACGCTATGAGCTCAAGCTTTATTCATGATGTACCTTAAAGTACACCGGAAATATTCAGATCGTGCTTGGCTAGTATTAAAAAGGTTTTACACTTGACTAAATTTGGCTATCCTAGCGGATGGGTAAGAGGATCAAAGTTCACCTAAAGAATGGGTGATAATGAGTAGGAGATTCCTACAAATTTAATCTGATAATTACCTGATGTATAACTGCGCTAATTAGGACGACGAGGTCCAAAGAGAAATCCAGCCCTGGGGTCATTATCCATGGACAGATGTATACGAGAGTCGCCACTGGCCCAACGCCAAATTCGTTAGTCAGGAGCCCATCGTTGGAGAGACCTCCCATAAAACAAGGCAGCCCTCAATGAAGTTCACTAGCAGATCAAACAGAGAAGAAATGATGTTTCCAAGGGATTCCTAGCATGCTCTATCTACATATTCAGAATCCTAGCAAGGGGCCGACAACAATGAAAATGCAGTATCATTGTGTTAGTCCAGTGTCTAGATGCTTATAGCCTAAATGAAAATGGTCAAAGATGCACTAGCAAATACAACATGACTATATGTCAACAAAAACATCCCCCAACTATGATAAGACATGAACTGGCTGGAGATCTATTGCTAAATCGAGGGATATTCTGAAAACTTGTTGCTAAAGATGAGAAAAGCCAACTTCACTTAACAAGAGTAGAGGGTTTCTAAGGAAAGAAATAAACCAGAAAGAAAAAGGAAAACAAAGATGCAAAACACATAATGAACCGCACATCTTATCAGAGTTTGTCATCTTATTTGATGCAAGTGAGAACTCCTTTTGTGATACGTGAGAGCATTTCATACATTTGGGGGTGGCCATATCTTCCCGAATAAGTCCTCAACCCGCTTCACCTGATTAACATAGCCTTCCATTCCAGCAGTCAAAAGCTCCACAGCTGCAGGCCCCATGGCTGATGCAAAGCCATACTGGTCCCATTTTACAAGCTGAAACATGACAGAAGATCAGCCATCAAACATTCTGGGAAATTACCGGTTTGAATGATGAAATTGAAAATTGAGTGAAGAAATATGTAAAAACAAAACTGTCTTGATAATTTCTTTCAAGTTGAGAAACATTTTACTGGAAATCTGAACTCATCAACGTCTAAATGCATCCAAAAGCAAAATTGGGCGAGGACTCTGTTGCAAGGCTCATAAGAAATATAGAGTTGGATGTCTCACACCGGAGAGGCATCTGCAACAAGGGGTACAGAGAAATTTCTATTAAAGCAGAAGGTCCAACTCTGATTTATGCACCATCAGTTTCCATCCACTTGTAGCAAAAGCCACCACATTATTTGGTATTCTCACAAATCAAACGACAGTCCCTTCCATAATTTACCTCTATTGTTCGGATTAAGTTGGCCATGGGGGAGAAAAAACTATAAAATTGCATTAAAAGCAGACCTCTTCTGCACTGAAATTATAGGTAGCAGCTGATTGTGGCGATAGCCTTCTCACAAAAGAGTATTTGTCATCAGGAGGAGTCACGGAATCCTTGAGGGACTGCAATATCTTCAACGGTGTGATGATATAGTCAATCCTGTAAAAGGAGGAAAATAAGGCTTTCCCTTTGGCTGTGAGTGGTGGAAATAAAGCTTGAGGAGCAGCATATGCTTATGCTGGAGTATCACACTTTATAGAAATTCCAAGATGGTTCGAAGCCAAGTAATAATTACCCGAGAATGTTAAATACGTCCTGCTTGTTCCGAATTGCTGCTGCCATCAACTTCGATTTGTGTCCATACTTGTGAATGTAGTTATAAGCTTTCGTCACCTGCAATAGAGAATACATGCTCACTTCTGAACAATCCTTTGTTCTTACCCTAGTCACTTTTGAGGGACATTACTGAATTCCTACAGGTCCAGCAAAATTGGCATTGTCTCGGACAGAAAAATAAAAGAACAAAGAGGATGAAATGTCATACTTCTTTGAACTTATTCTCAAAAGATATTTTTTTATCACAATTTCTGAAAGGTATTAAAAATATTTTTTTCAAATTATAAAATAATAAGCAACAAAATATTTAGCAACTTATAACTGTGTAACCGAATTACTAACATCCTGCAAGAAATCTAAGATTATAATGCAAAGCAAGGCAGAACTAGATATTTTGCCGGGATGATATGGTCATGAGTGATGAACATGAATAACTACATTATACCTTCAAAAGGAGTAATTCAAAGGCTCTGAAAGCCGAGGTGAATGCCAAAAAGAACAGGGCTTGGCTTGGAGAAACACGAGGGGAATAATTATTCGAGTGGCACAGAAGCACCAAATAGCCCGATAATGAGAAGAAAATAAAAAATTTAAAAGGAAAAAAAAAAGACAAAATAGGTTGACTCTGACAACTACACAGAGAAGCTTCCCCCTTTCTCCTCTTCTCCCCCCCCCCCCCCCCCACCACCAAAACCCCCCTCAAAGAAAGCCAAAAAGAAAAAAGAGCTCATAATGTCAATTACAGGGAAAAAATTCATTAACAACTTTAACAAAAAACATTGTCATGTGTTCGAAGCAGTACCCTTGCCAGGGACTCGGGGCAGGACGGAGGTAGAAGGGACAATAGAAACCTCATAGTACCTTACAACCAAAAATCATTTGGTACCAAATTACTAGGTGAAGCAGCAGAACAAGATGCGTCTTTGCTGTCCAGTCCAACAAAATTTTCAAAACCTAATGCTAGCTACATACATATTGCTGATAGATTTTTGGATTTCTCTCAGTTCTCTACATCTAGGAACTTTTTGCAAGGTGGTACGAAATCCAATTGATCAACAGAAATATAATCCTCTCAAATAAAAAAAAAAAAAAATCTACACAGTTTCTCAAGGAAAAGTCACAGAAAAAAAAATGGAGGAAAAAAGAAATTGCCACCATAAAGATCTGCCAAAAGTCTCAAGCAACCTTTATTTTTTTGGAACCAAGTCTCAAGCAACCTAAGAAAATAGATGTTATGTACTCTAAAACACAATGTGTTTTCCTCTCTCAGAATGCGGTTTCCTTTGTGACACGCATATATATACATATAGGGGATTAGGGGAAGCTCCAAGTTCACTGAGAAATTCACTGCACCCTATCAATTTGATAGGGAATTTGCTAAATGAAGAAAAATTAGCCGCTGATTTTAATCTACCCTGTACAGACATAACTAGGCATGCAGATGAAGAAATGACCCTCATGGATGATAATGCCATAAATAAGAGAACATAATTCAACTTACCAAAGCTAAACCTGGATCATCTCCTCTTTGAAGAGCAGCTTCTATCTCGGGGTCACCTTTGTGGTTGCGTGCCCAGTCCTGAGAACATGTACACCTTATCAGTTCCACCAGATTGAAAATCTTCAAATACTTATATGACTCATTAGAAATAGGCCATTACCCTAATGCGACCAACGAAAATCTGAATAACAGATGCACCAGCTTGAGCTGCAGCTGCAGCTTGACAAAAGCTGAGAAGGCATGACCACATCATTAATGACTGTGCAACAAGCATGAAATGCACTCCATTCTCTAAATGTGTTTCACTAAAGATATAATAGGACACTAATTGTCAATGGATACTTGAGGCAAATTGAATACATGGAAATTATCATCATCTTACAAAAATTTCAGGATAAAGAGAGGCCAGCTTAGATTGTTATTTATGAGCAAATAATTCAGTTTGTCGATCAAATGACAATAACAGCATGCCAGAAAATAGCTTGAATTTATGGCATACTAACTCATCAGAGTATCACTCCTGACTCAGCAGCATTTATTCACACACATAGTTACCAAAAATTGCTAAACCTTTACGACTCATGATCTTGGTAGTACAAAACGGGGTGGGTTCACGATTCAGATCACCTAAATGTCCAGCCCCACAAATATAAAATAAAAATTAGTTGACTATGTTTGTATAGTTTTAAGTAATAGGAAATCTAGCACAAATATAGAATAAATAGAGATTGGCGATGTGTTTTTGGACTTACTATTATATAAAATTCCTTATAGCAGTGAAAGCGATTTAGATAAGGGTTCCAAAACGAATTGTGACCCAAACTCCGTACTAGATAAGCTTACCACCATCGCACTACGTACCTAAGAAAGTATCATTTCATGTACTCATACCACGTACCAAATCGATCTACAATCTAGGTAACATTCACACACACTTCGAACAAACTTTGCAACTTTTCTTGAAATTTTTTTCCCCTAAAACTGCGGCAGAAAAACTGAGTACCTATAGGAAAAAGGGAGCAACACATTCTGTTGTTTTTGCTATAGAAATATTGAATCATGGGATTCTTTGAGATTTCATCTAATCTATTAGGAATTTCTATATCTTGTTTGAATATATAACTAACATATCTTTTCTTTTTAGAAAAAAATTGATAGCATCAAGGGATGTGAGCCAGTGTTGGCATGGCATGCTCTCTGTACCACACCCGCCTGTTAAGAATGTTCCTACAATAGTGGAAGATGCTGAAAGTAAAACTTGCAGTTCTCCAATTAAGGCTGTGAGAATAGATTAGGCAGGACAGCAACAGATTAAATGAGAGGCCTAGTAATGAGCTCTTTTCAATTCTAGCTCAAAAAAGAGCAACTTGAAAAGGTAAGGAAGCAATCACTTGCTTCTAGATCCAAAAAGATAAATGAAACACAAGACTATGGCCAAAAAGGGAATTGCAGTAATTACTAAAGCACTAGGGTGCCAAGGTGATCAGCCAATCAATATGGAAGAGGCAACAAGAAATGCATGAGATCTAGCTCTATACACCCAAATAAAGCTTCATCCCAAACATTGTGATTGACACAATCCTGTTTCATAACATACACTGGACATATTGAGTTGGAAACTTGGCACATATTTCATGCAAGCCATGTGGCAGAAACCCTTTTCTCTTTCTCTCACATAATGGTGTCCAGAGTACCCCGAATGTGTCAACATTAAACACAACACAAAGGCATATAAGTGGATTTCTTCAGATTTGCTCTACTGCGTGCAAGGCCAAGAGCAAAGGCTTAACCCAATCACGAGAATCGATGTAGTCATTAGTATTAGAAATGAAGTACTCCGCTGGGCTTGATTTCATCAAAATATAACCTGCAACAGACATACCAGAGCATACAGCATCTGAAGGAAAAATCCCTTAAGATGTGTACCTGTAAACAAAAGTCAAATGAGTCTGTATGCCCTCAGACTCCAGCAATCTTGAAGCCTCAATTCCCTGCAAAAGAGGGGAAAACAAGGGATAGCAACAGAAACAGGCTACAAAGCATAAAAGATAGTACAAGCTTTCATGTGTCAAATATTTCTCAAAGAAACTAATGTATACATATTTCTCTGCAGATACTCACTTGCCAAGTTGAAGGAATCTTAAACAATAAACGCTCTGGAGGGATCTCAATTTCATGGTACAATTTCAATAGGTCATGCACCTGTACAGAATGGTAAACTGTTTCTCATAATGATATTTTTTAAATATATCTAATCATAGCGTTTCACTTGAAATACACACACATGGATAAACAGACAAAATAACACAGCAAACTGAATTGAAGAAAGTGAGAAAAAACTCATGGACAGTTCTACAATGTTGCAGTTACCACATGATTTGAGGAAACCGTGTTTAAAGTTTCAAGTCAGATACTATAGCTGTAGCTCCACTCGATGCTGAAACTTCAAATATGAACCATTCTCAACTCCAAAAATTGCCTTTAATCTCAACTTTTTTTGGCAAATGACTTCTTCTTTGCTTTTCAACTCTATCTAGAGCCACAACTCCTAAAAAATCAACATTTGCCTAGCCAACACATATACAGTCTTTTGTGCAATTTCAATAGTGTCTATAAACATCCATGTATAACACTTCATCAAGAAGTGCATCCAAGGCAACCGGTAATCAGTATTAATAGAAAGCATCATCTCAAAAAAAAAAAAAAAAAACAAACAAAAGGAATACCTCTCATATTGCAACTTGCTAGAAAGGCAAATTTCATATAGGCTCACAATCACAGAAAATGACAAAGACAAGAACGGTGCAAGATTGTAAGGAAGTTTGATAAGGAGCATCTTAAGAGATGGTGAGCTCACAATTGCAAATGGTTGCATAGATTTTTCACGAGCATTAACTGATGGATTCATTCATGATTTCCTCAATGCACAACTTTCATTAAAATCTCATATCTCCTTGTACTAGACATCATTTACATCTCAACTGCTTTGGTTCCTTGGACCTAAATGTTTTACTAAAGTTCACGCAAACTTTTAATTCATATTGTAAAAGTATTGGGTTTACCCAAGCAAATGCACAAGTATGGAAGGTTAACACAGGTCACTAAAACGTAAGTGAGCAGATTCATTGTGATTAAAATGCAAAATGGTAGATTTACTATGGTTAAAATATTAAACTATCAGTAGACAGATTTACGATGATTAAAAGGTTAAAATATAAATACACAAATTTAATATGATTAAAAGGATAAAATGTAAGTCATAACATAAGTCGTAGGATCCAAACGATCTGGATCGATGTCATGTTTTATGTTCTGTTTTACTATTTTGTGGTGTTCTTGAACAAGAAAAGAATTCCATGATGTTTTAGGGTCTGTTTGGGATGGCTATCACAGAGAGCATTCTTCCCCATTCATTTTAATCAGCTGCTTCCTCTTCCCAATTTGTTTAAAAATTATCCTATAAAATTTCTACGTTTATTCAAGCAAGCTCTAGTTGCTTCTGCTATTAAGTTGAAGACAGAAACTTTTTCACAAGTGGAAGGACCTGGGGGGCAATGAGCTCAAGTCCTCTTCAATCTCTTCAACGAGGATCATACACTCACCATGTTTCTCTCCATAAATCAAGATAGAGTGACCAATGAAAGGCAAGGAAATCTCCAAAATTAATAGAACAAAAAAAAAAAAAAAGCACAATCAGACAATGAAATCAAATGTATAGCATACTCTGATATATTAAAATAAGTGTAGGAATCAATACCTTCCTAATGATGCCATGTGTGTCATATGCGAGACGAGCATCCACTTCAGTTGAAACTCGACCAGGGACTAGCTTTGCCATATCACCACCAACGTTTACTAAAGCCTATCGATTTCAATGATCAATTATCAGCACCACAGTTAATCAAAAGGAGTAACCACATACATTTCATCACAAAAGGGAAAGACATTGACCTTGTTGATGAAACAGGACATTCGTCCATTAGAACTCTCCAACCTATAACACGCTGAATCTGCCAATGCAGTATCAACAGAACTCTACACCAGAAATTAATAACAAACAAATACATGAATAAAAATAAAGAAAGCGACTGAACACTCATACACGTGAATTCAATCAAATAGGACATCTGTCCGCACAAAATTCTTAGTCTAAAATTTGCATAGAATATATACAAATATATATATATAGGCATGCATAAAGACATATATTCGTGGAACTGAATATTTACCTTAAATTTTGTATCGGGAAGGCTGCAGATACCTAAGAGGAGAGAGGAGCTCACAGTAGCAGCAGTGGGAGGAAACCTATATTTTTTAAATAATAATTCAAAATTTATTATCAAACAATAAACCAATTATAACGTTCAGTACTTCAGATTGAACTACAGGTAGAAAAGCAAGGGATGTTTTGAGAAACAGATAAAACTTACCTCTCGAAATCATCAAAAATAACGGTATCAGGAACGATCTCACTGTAGCTTGACACAGCATCCAATTCAGTGCTCAAACCTAATAGCATCAATAAAATATTGATCCAAAGGAAATTTGCCATCCAAATTACCAGAAACTTTAATAGAGAGAGAGAGAGAGAGAGAGAAACCAGCGTCAAGAGATGACGAGAAGCCAGTGGAAGCTCGGATTTGAGGAAAGGACCTTTGCGACTTGAACGCGAAACTCGGCCTCGTGGAGTAAACCGCGAATCCCAATCTCCTATTCTGCTAGATCAAAGAACAATCAGATTGACACATTGATAAAACGTGTGTGTGTGTGTGTGTTTCAGAGAGAGAGAGAGAGAGGAGTACCTGAAGAGCTGAGGAGGAAGAGAGAGCTGAAGATGGCGGAGATTGCAAAGAAGCTGACATTTCGATAGAGAGAGAGTGACAATGTCTATTGTGTGTCAGTTGAACTGGAGAGATCAGATCCGTGTATTTATATGTACATACACAACGGGAGTGAAACAGTATGAAATTGGAAAATGGCTAGTTTAAGTACAAGTATTTCTTATTAACGGATAATATCAGACGACGAGTACCCTTGCCAGGCTCTAGAAATTAGACCCACCCCACCGTACATTTCTGTTTTGCCCAGAGTCCTCATTTGTCCATAATCATTAACTGCCTAGCAAAAGTTGGCCTTTTAAGTAAAAATGGTTTAGGAAAATAATCAAAATTGTATGTTTATTTGTATTTATTCCATACACACATTATAGAACCCCCCCCCCCCCCCCAAGTAATTTTTTTTAATTAACACAATTGAATATATTTTACTCAATATTATATTATATAAACAGTTGTAAGAAATCAAAATGACCTCAAACTTTAAATATTCATCTCTGACCTAATCATTAAAAAGAACAAACTTTTTTTTTTTTGAAACAAAGTTTATAAAGAACAAACTTGGACGAATAGTGAGTGATTAAAATCGAACGAAGTTTCATATATAGTTTGAATATAACTGTTTATATTATATAAAAATTAGCATTGAAAATTGTAGGATAGTTTGTTTAACACTATCTATAATTTGGTTGAGTTTGATCATCGCATTCTCCGTCAGGCTTGTCAGGCTTTCATGTAAGACCATGTCAGTGTCTTCTCATAAAACGATTTTCCGTCATCTTCCTTTGTTTTTGTCCCATCACCTGATCAGATCTTCCTTGAATTTTTCTTGAGAAGAACAATCTCAACACAAGAAACTTTTCAAGTCAAATCATCAATTAATAGCACTTTGCCTAACCATGTTGGCAGCTAATTTTAGATAGTTTCGGAAATTGAATTTATAAAAGAATGAGTTAGGCTACTTGGTTAGCAGTCCATCAAAATGGACCACACCCCATGTTACATAACAATAACACTATGGGTCCCGTCCCACCCCGCCCCATACCAGCTTCAGTTTTATGCATTCTGAAGATGGTTAAATCAATTGGCCTCTAGATCAGCCACCATACTTGTCACTGGGTATTTGTCAAGCTTAAAAACACTCCTACATTCATCAAAGAACAGGGTAACTGGGTAAGTGCACCAACTTGCCTCAGTAAAAAGTCAAGAAACTTATTCATTCCATTCACCATCCAATGCACAGAAATGAAGATCGAAAGGTACCAAGCCTTGAAGAAACCGATGAAACTTGGCTAAATTTCCTTTCTCTATGCTATATCTACAACTACAAATGAAACTGATTCATACAACATGGAGCCACAAGAAGAAACATTGAGATTGTGGAACTTACAACCTTTGCATAATAGACATTTTATGTTAAATAACATGAATATTCATAACAGAATCCACCAGGAGAGAGGAACATTAAATGATCCCTCGTCCACGAAAAAAAATAGCAGGCTTTACAGGTAAAGAAGAAAACTCTTCAAAAAATGAATAATTAAAACTTCGAAGAATTGGAGTCTTCAACTGTATATGAATGTGGCATCTCCTACCTGATCTGCCTGCCTTTATTACCAATTATTGATACCTAAAGCAAATATTATGTGGACTATCTCGTGATCACTTTGTGCTCCTCTTCTTCATCTATGTATTTATAACGCATTCTGCTCCTTCCAACTCACAAGGGACTTCAGGAATTCTTTAACCTGTGCATACAATGTCAAAGCATCTTTTAATCTGGATAGGTAAAAGATAGATGATATGAAAATCAACATGAACACCACAGTGAAACAGAATAGAATATCTAACTAAAATAAGGGTTTCAACCTCTGAGGGGTCCCTGAGAGAGAAGAATGCATTGCTTTCTTTCGGGGCAGATGATACTAGGATCCCATACCCTCGATTCCCTTCCCTCAATACCTGGTATAGTATTAATACATTGGCAATTAGAATTTAGAACATCAAATATATCGTCCATAAATAGACATACAGCCACACAGAATCACCAATGGAATGGCAGTAGTGCTGCTAATACCTTGAATGCATCTTCATCTGTCCTGTCATCACCAATATAGATTGCAAGCACATCGGCACTATTACTTAGTCCTGCAAAATTTCGTGTAATTGTACAAATAAACAGATTGAGACTATCTGATATTGAAAAACCAATACAATTTGCACATATTTGTGATGGACAGATAAGTTAACTTACCCAGTGATTCAAGCAGAAATTCAACTGCTTTACCTTTATCCCATTCAATTACAGGACGGACCTCTAAAACCTATGAAGGAGAAGAAAGCCAATTGTTGTATTTGTATATAAGGATGTGGAAGTTCAAAAATTTAATAGCAAGATCATATTCAATTCAGTTCTAGAAGAGTAACAGTATACTTGCACATAGTGGAGGAAAAAATATCATTGGTACCAAAAGTTAGCTAAGTAATTACCTTCCGCCCATGAGTTAGTCGTAATCGAGGGTAATCTTTCAAGATGTCATGAACACACTGTGCAACTGTAGGCCAACTCTGAAATTCAACAAAAAAAATATAAACTCCTCTACTTCTGAGCCAAACTAGCCAGCATAAAGAACATTGCAAGTTAATATGATCATGAAGCTATAAATAATCCAGCACAACTCACTTTGTCATCTACATTACGGTAATGTACAGAGGCACAAAATTTATGGTTCTCAACTTTTGCACCTTTAATATCTTTAGTATTCTCGACAAGGGTTCTAAAAACCTGCAAAAATATTGAGAATAGTTTTCTTCCTGTTATTTGAGAGTGGCTGATTCCTTTAATCACATAGTAATGGATCCAAACAATTACACACCTCGTCAATCATAGGTAAAAATTCACTAGCAGGCTGGAAAAGGTTTACCTCCATGCCCTACACAAGAAAATAAAATAGTTATACCAAAATATGAAGTTTGAAAGAGAAGAATTTGAGAGAGAGAGAGAGAGAGAGAGAGAGAGAGAGAATTTCAACAAAGCATAATCGCTATCCCCTCGGGGGTGCAAGCATAAGAGAAAATTCCGAAAGGATTTGTAATCTCGCACCTGCTGGTCAGCAGATTTAACACAAGTTGAATGGTGAGTGGACAATTTGTCTCTGTCAGGGAAAATAATGTCCATTCCATGACTACCAGCATAATAAAGTTCTGTTAGTCCTACCAACTCAAAAACCTGGGGAAATTTTTTTCTGATCAGACCCTAATCACATCCTAAAAAAATTGCAATACTGTCAAATTAAACAAAAATCAAATTTAAAGTTTTCAATAAAGTATCAATTCAGGTAGAAGTTCCTCCATCCACCTTATCACGGCTTCTTCCACTGATAATTGCTGTCGAAAAATACTTTGCCACATTCCTAACAGCAGAACGCATCTGACAAAGAATTGTTTTATTCAACCAAGACATACAAATGAAAATGCATAAAAGAAGAAACTTACATGCATGGAAACGACAAGCACAGAGACACTTACATCATCAGACATAAAAGCACAATCAGGGTCATCTACAATTGGAGAAAGAGTCCCATCATAATCTAAAAACATTACTATCTTCTTACCCCTCGCACAATTTACAATGTTCTCAAACGAATTAATGACTGATGGATGCTTGACCTGCGCAACCAGCAATTTTTTGTCAAATAATCATTGTCTGTTTAAGTGGAAGGAATTTGAAATTATTAGACACAAAAAGATACCAAACATACCATCCAAGAGTTGTAAGCAACATCACTATCATCTGAAGCAACCTCGACATTAAAATCCTTTAGTATCTTCTTGCGAGGAGGTGAAGAAGATTTCATGGCATCAAGCCAACCATTGGATCGAACATCATCGAGCTTGCTAGGCTTCTTTCGAGGAATTGTTAACACACTAGTAGAGAACGATGATCCAGACTGTGAGCAAGGCAACAGACTAGAATGAATGCCTAGTCTGGATTTGTTAATGGGTGCAGCATCAGTGAGAATGGGAGAAGCTTTTGTCGACTTCAAGTCCATGGCATCCAAATTACTTGCACGGGAATAAACTGTCCGTGTGAGTTATGATGTTTTACTGCAGCTTGGCAAGAGGATAGAAACAACTCTTTTACCCAACTCTTTTGTCAATGAAAAACCACCTCTTCAGAGTTTTTTTGTCACAGCTGTTGCGTGAGCAATCCATCAACCGCAGGCTTCTTGAAATCTGATAACGCAGTAGTGAAAATGTTAAATGTCTATGTATATGATGTGCAACAAAGGAGCCTCTTTATGAACACAAATAATCAAACTGCAGCATACCTCATCTCCAAAGCTATACTGCATTTATACCAGGTAGTTGAACATTGTTTGTTTAAAACCCGTTGGTAAAGCAGTCATATAGAGCCTCGAATACTACCAAAACCAACGTCTGCGCTTGCTGAAACACAACTATCAGGCACTAAACAATCTAATTTTCGCAACATTATAACTTATGATTGTTTGGCAACATTATTACTTATTTTTTTAGTGAAGGAAAGCACAGTTTAATCACGGAAATATTTGGTCACACGTATAACACCATTACATGAGAGCAACTTATGAAAAGACAGTAAAAGAATGGATAGAAGCTAGAAGGACTTCTTGGAAAAACAATATTCTTTAAATTAGATACTATCAAGTATATTGTCCGAGATGAAGATAAGGCAATACTATCACCAGAATAGATCAATGAAAGTTGAACAGACATCTACCTTAACAGAAAAACAACATCAACGATTAAGAACATAACAGTGGTAGTTGTTGTTGCTGTTCCAGTGGTAGCCTAATATGCACAGAACAACGTGCATGATCTAATACCTACGTTTGGTCCTTGATTGTACAGATTGGAGACTCAAGCATAATGTCAAGAAAATCTTCCTTTAACTAAGCTGCAAAACTTCTCTGCTGTCCAACTACTCGTATCTGAATTGTTTCCATCAGCCTTTTACTGCTACAAGGTTGGAAAAAAGATCTCTATTCCATGATGTTCCAAATCTCTACTAAACTTGCCAACAGTTGGCATAGCTTGGGATCGATTTCTATTCCACACAGAAATTGATCTCCCCCCAGAATCAAAAACGTTATACATAAGATCTGGGCCGCCGTCCAAAATGTTGTGGAGGACAATCTATACACTCATACTCAACACAAAAACCCAAAATTAGTAAGAAGAATTCCTTTAATATTGAGCTTATATCACTACAATAGAAATTCGAACCGAAATCCCAGCTTCAATGCTTGCCCAAATTAATCTAAAACCAAGAGGATTGTAGCTTCTGTAAATCATATTTTTGACCTCACTCAAAAGGGATGCATCTAGTTACTACATACCTAGATTTAGTCTTACAAATATACTATTTAGCAGCTTAAGTTCATTCCCCAAAAGAACGCATTTCCATAAAACACAGATAAACAATCAACTATAACACCTTGAATGCCCCAAGTTGGCAACATTTATTAATTTAAGCATATTCCTGATATAAAACATGCCCTTTGAGCTATGAACCCAAAAGAACAAAAATATCATTTTGCTTGGAAACCTGATTTATCAATTCTGAATTAGAGCAACCATAAACACATATAGAAAAACCAACTGTTTTTAAACAAGAAAAGAAAACAAGACTGGAAACAAACAAAAATAATAATCGTTTAGGCCAAGCATATTATTGCCTTATTGGTGTAGTGACATAACTCTACAACTACCAAAAACTTGAAACCTCACCAGCTCTGTGTGTGTGTGTGTGTGTATAGAGAGGGCGAGGGAGAGAGAGAGAGGAATACATATAAAGAGAAATCTATAGGCTTAACCATTTCTAAATAAAACATGATCAACCAATAACTCAATATTCATGAATAGAGATCACTCAGTTAGATTACGGCTGCCGTTCCAGATGGATAATCACACATATAGGATTTAACTAAATAAACTTAAAAACATAACTAATTAAAAAATAAAACTAATTATTTCAATGGCCAAATAGTCGGCTTTTTGGATAAATATGGAATTGGACAGGCCTCCAATTCTCCCTTAGATCTTTGACTTAAAAAAATGATGTTATTACATGCTAAACGGCAAGTAAAAACAGATGTTTGGAGGGCGTTAATTACAAATATTGGATATGCTGACTTTTTTAATAATTCCATGGTAACTGGTAAACCACCAAAACTGATTAAGACACATAATCAAAATTCCAACATCTTCCATAGTCATCAGCAACCGACAAAACAATATTCTAATAACTAAAAGACAGAAAAAAATTAGACAATTGTGCTTCAAATCATGATACATGTATATATGTATACACATACATAAACACAGATACAGCTAAATACGCATATTCAGAAATCTAACTCATCAGATATATATGCCGTCCAAATCTATAACAAGATGAAAGAACTCTTTCTCACGTGTAAGAAGATGAAATATGATACTGATTTGGTTTGTGGCCCAAAAAGAAAATAAAGAAAAGCCATAGAAATTTAACAACTTCGCAAAAAAAAAAAAAAAAAACCTATAAAGAAAAGCCATTATAGGCAGCAACTAGCAACAAAGAAAACCCACCATTCAAGCTGTGTATCGGAAGGCATATCTGCCTAACTCCAACAGCATTGCATAATATACCCAATAAAGTTCTTTATCTTGAAAGGGGAAAGAAAAAAAAAAAGAACCAAAGGAATCAGAAACTGCAATACCTGTATGAAAGACAAAATCTCCCGACAAAACACCAACTCAACCGGTTCTTAAAAATGCAGCTCTCAGATTCAAAACCCAAAACCCATAAAATCTGCCAAAGTATTTGAATTAGATAAAACGAAAGAGATCCAAACGAGACCCAATAGAAAATGAACCAGAAAACATGGGGAGAGAAATGGATCTACCTCCAAAATAGAGGCTGGAACAGAGAAAACCCTAGAATAGCAAAAGAAGCTGCGGAAAATCGTGGGGAGAGAGAGAGAGGGAGGAAATTGAGGGGCGAAAAGGCTGGGTATTTATAGCGTTTGACAACCCATAAAAAGACGTGGCCAACAAGGCAGCTCACTGGCTGTTGAATTGGAAACAGACTGTTTTTACCAAATCAACTTTTCGCTAATTATAATTCCCGTATAGTTAAGTGTTAATGGTGACGAATTATTGGAATTTGATTTAGAATCGAGCTCAACATTGTATAATATGTAGATCCACATAATAAATTGATGTGTACAAATTCAATCCAATTGTATAAAACATGAACCTAGTTCAATATATAATTTTAATCTATAATATAAAATAGGATAATTGGGCAAACTTTAATAAATTTATTCGACGATTTTAAATATATTCATTCAACGGCTGTCAATATTCTTATGAAAATTATTCACATTACACTGTATTTTTAGATACGGATTATCTTCAATACTGTATAAATAAAATACTAACTCAACAATCATAAATTTATAAACAATACTATATAGAGTTAATTTTGGAACTAAATTTATTATATCCATTAAATTAATAATATATTTTAATATTAAATGGAGTCTAGTTTAAAGTTCTAATCAATGAAATATTCACGGGTATATAATAGCATTATACTAAATTTATGGTGTATGTGTTTAATTAATTTGAAACATGACACTGACACGTTTTCGTGGTCCAGGGACATGAATATTGTGACACGTGGTAGGCTGGATGTGAGGCGCGTGACACTGGGCCCCCTGAAAAAGCAGTATGACTTTTGATCCGCCGCTGATTCACGTGTCGAGGAGTCACGTGGCCCACAATCCGAGCTGGCATTTCAGTTTTCTCGATTTTCTTATTTTGAACCATAATGAATAGAGAGATACGGTTAGTTGTTTTATATCGAAAAGATGGACAGAATCTGGTACAATCACGAGGGAGGTCCTCCTACCCATACGCGCGCGAGTGCATTAAATCCTCACTTGCAAGGGAAAATCGCATTTTGTATCCCAAAAAAGTTTAATTCTTTTCAATTTACACCCTTTGTATCATAAAATAGTTGTAATTTGTTGCTATTTTTGTCAAATCCTACTACAGACAATACACATGAATTTGACAGAAATAACAATAAAAGTTAGTGTGGAGATTATATTGCAACTGTTTTATTACATTGAAAATTTAATACGAGAAAATTAATGATTGAACATACAAATCAAGAATAATTTGTATATATGAATTCAATTCATTTTGAGCCTTTTAAATAAGATAAAATTTACGACGTAGATAAATACTCAACATTTTGAAGGGATTGGGTATCTTATAGCAAATACATATAGGCATGTCTCCCCCAACCAAAAAAAAATCTCCCCTCACCCAGCCTTGAGCTAACGCTAACATATTCTTTCTTTTCGACGACGTTTTGATGTGAAAGTTTGGTGCACATATACACCTCTAAATTGACGGGGGAGTTAAACCACATTTGTTTAACATTATTCTAATATAATTAACTCATGGACCATGCAAAAGGGTACAAAAAGAAATGATATTATATGTTAATCCATGCAATAATTCAAATTACTTTTTAACTAATTGAAAATTAGCATGCTTGTGCAATGTGCATGTCAACATCCAAGCCACGTGTTTAATTCGAGTTTTAATTTTAATTTTTTTTGAGAGTCATGTGATTTTAAAATTAGATCGAAATTTTATTAGTAATATAGATTAATAATACTAAGTGTTAATAATGGCGTGATCTGATCACTAACATTCAATATCTTCTCAATTTTGGGAGGAATGGATGTCCTTAATAGATTTTCTTTTTCTCAGTAAGTTAGCTTGTAGATGTCATCCATACCAATAATGTAAGGAGAGACCACAAAACTCCCCTTTAAAATTAACTCATAAGTGACATTCCTATGGGCTATGGGGGTCTCTCTTCTCGAATAAAATGTAATTGTGATATCGTATTATTATTATTGACATATAATCCTTCCACAAGTAACACTCATAGATACACACACAAAACATATGCAATAGAAGGAGTTGGCTACAATACCGAAAAAGT